GGACAGGACAGGACAGCCTGTGGAACATCCACATTGGAGGAGGTAAGGACAGGTGACTAAATGCAACGTGGGACGCTGGCTTGGATCCTAGAACGGAAAGAGGAAGTTGATGGAATGAATTTCATTAATGAAAGGGAATTTGAGTTAGCCAATTCACAGTATTGTACCAATATTACGTTCTTTCGTTTTCATGATTCTTCTATGGTTGCGTAAGAGGCCAGCGTTGGGGGAAGCCGGCTGCAGTGTACTTGGGAACCCTGTGCGATTGTCGCAGCTTCTCTGTAAGTCTGAAATGAGTTCCAAATAGAAGGTTTTTAAAAATCTCTGTCAAGTCCCCACCATGTCCCAGGCTCTGTTCCAGACGCTGAGGACATTGCAATAACCACAGCAGACACCGTCCCCATCCTCATGGAGCTTACATTCCAGGGGAGAAGGGACAAACGGGAAACAGGTCAACAAAAAGCATCATGTCACCCAGGGATGGAGCTAGGAAGAAAGTTAAATAAAGCGGGGCGATGTGGTGGGAGTGGCAGGGGAGGGGCTCCTTTAGCTGGTGGTCAGGGAAGGCCTCTCTGAGGAGGTGACCTCTAAGCAAAGACCAGAATGACAAGCATAGCAGCCAGCAGTGTGACATCTGGAGGAAACACTTACCCCAGGGAGAGAGGCCACGTGCAAAGGCCCTGAGGCAGAAATGGGCTTGGCCTGGTGCAGCTGGAAGGAGAAGGTCAAAGGGCTAGGAGGGGATGGGAACCCCCGGGGCGTGTGAGCCAGCGAGGTGGCCTCCTGGGTGCTGCTGTAGGGATGGGGGAAGCACAGGGGCTGTGAGCGGAGGAGCGATGCATCTCCAATTACGTCTATTGGTATATTACAGGGACTTCTCGGTTTACGGTGTCTCCCTCACTAGAATAGAACATGGAATCTCATTGTAAAATGTCAGCCACTGATTCAAAGTTTAAAAAATTACAGGGGGCCAAAACCTGCACTTCCCACGTGACCCAGCAATCGTACTCCTGGGTGTTTATCCCCGAGAGATGACAATGTATGTCCACCCAAAACCTGCACAGGACTCTCCGAAGCGGCTCTGTTAGTAACGGCCCAAACCCGAAAACGACCACACGTCCCTCCACACGTGGATGATTAAACGAACTCAGCAAAGGCAGCACAAGGTGTTGGCTCATGAAACCTCTTGGGTGGATCCCAAGGGCTAACGTCACGCTGAGTGAAGACAGCGAAGCCCCAAGCCACACACGTGTGCTTCCGTTCAGACGACGTTCTCAACACGACAAAATCACCGAGATGGAAGCCGTTGGTGGTTGCAGGGGATGGGTCGGGGAGGCGGTGTCTGTGTGGTGAGGGGCAGCGTGAGGTGGCTCTCCCGTGGTGGATGGTCCTGTGTCTTGGCTGCGGGGGTGGTTACACGAACCCACACGGGGGCTCTTCACACACGCTGTTCCAACATCAGTTTCCCGGGTTTGCTACTGCCTTACAGTTACGAAGATGTAACCACTGGGGGAAACCGGGCCAAGGGTGCAGGGAGAGTCTCTGTACCACCTTCGCAACTTCCTGTGAGTCTATAATTAGTTCAAAGTAAAAAGTTAAAAAAAATGACTGTGGGCCAAACAAAGATGGCCGAGTCGGGGGAGGTATGGTCCCTGAGCCGACAGTTTGTGCGCTCTAGTTTCGAGAAACAAGACCTTCCTATTCTTGACCCTCTGCCGACGTCCCCTTGTCCTATTTCCCCGGCTCAGAGGCCAGGTGACTAGGTCAGAGAGAAGGGGGACATGTCATCCGAGGCATCACAAAGAGCACAGGGAAAGATTTTGTGTGTTGGTGTGTGTATGCATGCTGTATTCATTTTCTATTGCTGTGTAATAAATTACCACAAACTCGGTGGTTTAAAACAACACGCGTCTATTACCTCACAGTTTCCATGGGTCTGGAGCACACGGATGGGTGGGCAGGCTCCTCTGCTCAGGGTCTCCCCAGGCTGAAACGAAGGTGTCTGCTGGGGCTGGGGTCCAGGCTTGCTGGTGGAACCCATCTCCTTGCAGTCGGATGACTGAGGTCCCTGGTTTTTCCTAGCTGTTGGCCGGGGACCACTCTCCGGTCCTAGAGGCTGCCTCACGTCCTTGCCACGTGGAGTGTCTCTCGGCTATGAGGGAGCTTCATAACACACAATGTGATCACCAGAGCGGCTATTCCATCATAGTCACAGCTCCCGTCCACACTCAAGGGAGAGATTGGACACGGCTGTGTGCCACTGGGGGTCATCCTAGAATTGTGCCCACCACCCACGCCCAGGTATACGAAAAAGGCCTTGCAGAGTCAACTGTCCTCAAGCGCCTTCATTAGCGTCACCATGAAGTCCCCCCAAACCTCACATGCTGGGACAGCCTCTCTCTTTGCAGCTGGGTCTGCCTTGGGTTTCATTCCTGCTGTTCACACCCCGGTGTAATCCCTCCCAAGTGACTTGTTTCTACCCAGTGGAACCTGGCAGAAGTGATGGGACGTCACTCTGATGTCCTTACACGACGTGAGACTCTGGGAGCAGACTCGCTCCAGTGTCTTAATCTCCTTGCTGGCTGTGAAGAAGCAAATGGTCATGAGTCTTACAGCCTCAAGGAAGTGAATTCTAACCACCTGAGTGAGCCTCCTCTGATGAATACGTCAGGTAGGAAGAACCACAGCGATCCAGTAGTTACAACTTGCCTGACAACTGGTCTTTTTAAACAACGGAGCGCGGTAACAATACAATTTGAGTTTATGTTGTAACAGCAGAATTGAGTAGCTTTGTTAAGCTCTGCCTCCTAAATGTACATCTAATGCAATTTTGCGTGAAATTATTGCATGAAATGGACTGGATCGAAGAAATACTATTTTCTAGGCAAAACTGTGGTTTGCAAAGCTCTGTGTTAGGCTGGGCCAACGCTGGGGGACACTATTTTATGGGAATTGCTAAATCCAAACACACAGTAGATTTTGTTCTAATTCCTGTCCTCCGTCAACTTGCCATAAGTAATTCTGATGTTTTGCTCTTTCTTTGGATCCCCATCCTCGGTTAATAGTGACCTGGACAGAACTACAAAAAAATACGATTTATAAAGTTTCATTTTTGCCTATCGGACAAATATGGGATGTTTGTGAAGATTACAGCTGAATACATCTGCTCCTAATGAATACTTTTCTTGGTTAGTAACATATAAATAAGATTAGCATAAACTAGGGGTTAGCAAACTTTTCCTGTAAAGGGCTGGTTAGTAAATATTTTCAGTTTTGTGGGCCATATGGTTTCTGTGCAATAATTCAGCTCCGCCCTTGGGTACAAAAGCAGCCACAGACAGTATATAAATGAATGGGTGTGGCTGTGTTCCAATAAAATTTATGGAACTAGAATTTGAATTTCATGTAATTTTCATGTCATAAAATATTATTCATCTTTTGATTTTTTCAACCATTTAAAAATATAAAAACTGGGGCCGATCCGGTGGCGCAAGCGGTTAAGTGCACACGCTCCGCTGCGGCGGCCTGGGGTTCCCCGGTTCGGATCCCGGCCTCGCACCGACGCACTGCTTGTCGAGCCATGCTGTGGCGGCGTCCCATATAAAGTGGAGGAAGATGGGCACAGATGTTAGCCCAGGGCCAGTCTTCCTCAGCAAAAAGAGGAGGATTGGCATGGATGTTAGCTCAGGGCTGATCTTCCTCACAAAAGAAATAAATAAATAAAAGTGAGAATATAGAAACTGTTATTAGCTCACAGACTGTACAAGAACAGGCAGCAGCTGGACTCGGCCCGTGAGCCAGGGTTTGGTGACCCCCAGCCTTTTAGATTATTTCCATTGTAATCTAAAATCTGCCCCGTACCGAGACCACAGGTTAAAACCAAAATATTTTTCCTTATCTGTATTTCTTCAGAGTGTGCTGTGAGAATAACTCACACAGTCCCCTGTGCTGGAATAGACTCAGTCAGAGCACAGAAGGCACAAAGGACTAATCTTGGCTCCTTCAGCTTTTTCCTGTCCCGAAAGTTGTAGTTACCACAAAAAGCGTTCAGGGACCACATTTCAAAAAGAGAGTGACAAGAGGAGAAGAGATGGGCATCTGAGGTCTAATCCTACACAAATGTGGGACCGATTCTGAAGATTTTGCTCAAATGGTGGGAATTAACTTTTGTGGCTGGGCAGGAAGGCGATGGAGATGCAGGCACACATTAACTTGGACTGAAGTGGAAATAAGGGAATTTCCACGGTCCCCCACAGCTAACTTCTCTTTCCAGACCTGTACTTGTACGTCTATAAAATTGTCACGCTGGCCTAGATTAGGGGTCAGTAAACTAATTTGGGTAAGTATAAGCCTTACTTTGGGTCAGTAAGCCTTGGGTCAGTGTAGTTTCCATTAACCACACTAACATGCCAAAATATCCATACTTTTAGTAAGTATTATAAAGAACATTCTTATCAACTAATTTGGGAACCCCTGGTTAGCTCATCTGTATCCAAATTACATTGAAAATATGAACTGATTTTCCATTTTTCTTAATCCAATTAGACATATGTAACTGCTAATCTGGTAGAAGAAAAAGTCAATACGTGGAATCTATGAGACGGCATGAAGAAGACGACTTTTCTGGTGGTAAGAACATCAAATGATTCTAGAATCCACCATCCCCCTGACACACACACACACACACACACACACTCCTTCTAATTCAATCATTTTCTCATTTTAAACCTCTAACGAAAGTTGTCCTTTGTCACATAATAAATCATAAAGATAACAATTGGTTCCATCGTTTGTACAAATAGCTACTATAAAGATAGCTACGATGACAAGGATATCAGCATCTTACCCCAAATTTACTAAGCCTTATCCTACAAGGGCCATGACACCATGGCCAAGAATGTCACCCTACGCTACTGTGTCACTGCCGATGCCCTTCTCACCACACATAGCTCGAGAGGAACTGAGAAAGATAAAAACAAAACAACAACTGCTGTGGCCACTGGTCTCACATTTATTTTTTCAAGTTTAAAAAAAGAGAAAGAAAGGCAAAATGTCTCAAATTTGAGAATTCTTTTCTTCAGACTAGTTTTATTAGTTTGCACATGGCTTGTCAACACTCGACTTTTTCTTTCCTATTTTGATGCACAAATCCGTTCATTCGGACTCTCCTTCGCCCCATACTTCATATATTGTAACATGATTCTGTGGGTCTGCAGGCGCCACTGAGTTCTGAATCTTGAGGTTACTGCTCGTTGCCATGATGATTTTCAGATTCCGCACCTTGGACATAAATTTCACAAGGTCCATCTCGAGCTGGGTTAGGGTATTGAACGCATAGTCTTTGTAGGGGGGAGCATTTTGATTTTTCTTTAGTGGAGAGCGAAATAGACAGCCTCGAAGGCCGGGAGGGTTCTGCTCCTGCCAAGAAAGATATTAAGGGTGAATAACAGTTGACTTTGCTGATTTTGACTCAGTTCCAAGACATTTGGGCTCATCTAAGAGAAGATGGTTCTAGCATTGCTCTACTCCAGGGATTGGCAAACTCTGGCCAAATCTGGCCCACCGTCTGTTTTTGTAAATAAAGTTTTATTGGAACGCACCCGTGCTCATTCGTTTGCATGTTGTCTGTGGCTGCTCCCATGCTACAACGGCACAGTTGAGTAGTTGCAACAGAGACTGTATGGGCTGCAAAGCTGAAAATATCTACTGTCTGGCCCTTCACAGAATAGATTTGCCAAGCCCTGCTCTAGTCAGTTTGGACACAGTATCATGACGCATTGGGTCTGTCAGGACAGAAGACGCTGCCATATTTCTCTCCTTTTCCCCTCTGAGAATTGTTGAGCCACTTAGGGAAGAGCTCTTACTTTATACCGCTATCCCTTTATGACAGATCTTTTCCTTTACTTTGGATAATGATACCATTTCCATTCAGTTCAGCAACTTATAATAAGTCAAATGCTAGGGAAATCAAAATCAGGGTCAGTGAATCTGGCTCTGTGAATAATTTTGAGCTGAGCACACCAAGTTCTTGAATCTATTCTCAATTTGAAAGAAAACTCATTTAACAGGATAACTATTGAGCCAAAGTTTTATTCACCCAATAAACACAAGGTGGTTTTCAACTGCGAGTACCAACCTCTGTGGGGACGACTGTCTTCCCTAAGGATATGTCAGGAAATGAATTTGCCAGTGTTTCCCAGGAACACGAGGTGGGTATCTTGCACCCTAATCCGTTATACTTAATGGTCCTGCCTACAATGAGCAGAACACCCGTTTGTCCGAGTCTGAGATTTCTGAGATGGAATCAGGGTGCTGTAAACCACAGAGCCCTCTTTACCTTACTCTTCTCGCTGTCTCCTCGAAGCTTCAGGATCATATACATCACAATAACAAAAAAAAGCCAGAGCCATTTGCTCCCAAGCCAGCCTTGGGCATGCTCTGGCAGATTCTGCCTTATCCGGAAGTGCCCTCCGCAAGGCACCTTCCCCTGGGGTTCTCTGACTTTATCTCTCACAGAAGAAAACATAAAGGCATAGCCGCAGGAGAGGCACAGAGGCAAGAACAGGAACCATTTCAGCATCCACATGGTGAGCAGAGATGTGGGAGGGAGTCGCTCATGGTGGGTTTGTTTGCTCTCGCACCTGGAGACTGGGTACATAGGGCTGGGCTGCTGGTGATGTCACAGAGGCCCGAGCCAGAAGCAGCTCTGGCCATTGTGATGACTTCAGGGTAGAGGATGATGAGGCTCGAAGCGGTCGCAGGGGAGTAGCACTTAAAGGGAGATGGAGAAACTGTCAGTGAGCAATTAAAGAGACTTTCTGCCCCTGGTGCTCCATTGGGAGAGGCCAGAGTCTATTTCTGTTTTTCGTTTGTTGAATGCAGAGCAGACACAGCATGTGCTCCTGTGGAGCTGAGAGCTGAGTGGGAAAGAAAGATTAAACCATAGGCTACGGCTGGCCCCGTGGCTTAGCAGTTAAGCACGTGTGCGCTGGGCTGCTGGCGGCCTGGGTTCGGATCCCGGGCGTGCACCAACGCACTGCTTGTCCGGACATGCTGTGGCAGTGTCCCACATAAAGTGGAGGAAGATGGGCATGGATGTTAGCTCAGGGCCAATCTTCCTCAGCAAAAAGAGGAGGATTAGCACGGATGATAGCTCAGGGCTGATCGTCCTCACAAAAAAAAACAAACCAGAGGCTACAAAGTAGGAGCCATTGATTGATGTTTTATGGCCTACATTGTTTCTAAAAATAATTATGTCTGCACCCATATTTAAATGTTGGGGGGGACTTCACTTAAAAAGCCCAGATTTCCGGCTTCCTTTGAAAGTATGGAAGATCTGATAACACTGAGCCACTCTCTGCTGGAGCTGAGTAGGAACTGCCCCTCTAGGTGGTCACATTCTCTCCACAGTCCCCACCACTCCCTATCACCTCACACACTGAGTGACCTTACCTGAGTGTGATATCCTGTGTTAATTAAGAGGATAATTTATTTAATTAAAATTGTAATAAGAACAGAGTTTTAAGGGAATAGAACAGGGGACTGGTCTAGGTTAGTTTATGTGGAAGGCTTTCTTGAGAGACATTCGGGGAGAGTCTGAGGGATGATCAGGAGTTGGCTGGTAAAATGGGGAGGGGGCTGATGTCAAGGTGGGTGAAGACCCCGAGGTGAGAAGCCTGTATGACAGCTGAGGCCGATGCGGGAATACAACCAGGGCTCACTTGCCCGTGTATTTGAAACCATCCGTTTCTATAAATGACATGAAACAAAGAAATCCCAGTTAACGGAACACAAGGCTCGTACTTGTTCCCCTGGGTCCCCTGATTCACAGACTTACTCCCCAGAAAGAAAACATTCTGCTGAATATGATCAAGGGTCCCCTGGGACCTTCACTGTGCCACCAACTGTGCTGAGCTCTGGGCAGCGACAAGGAAGTTTCGTAAGACTTTGACAGCACAAGGGGAAGGCGGAGCGTGGGGCTGTGCGCACAGACTGCTCCCGCACGTGCACAGCTCACGGTGGGCTGGGAGGGTCCTGTAGGAGACCGTCGGGGCAGGGCTGGCGGAGAGGCAAGGCCAAAGCGTTGATGAGAAAATAGGGCTGTTGTAACTAGACTTACTGTGGTGATCATTTCACAACACATACAAGTACCGAATCATGATGTCGTCCACCTGAAACGAATACAGTGTTACATATCAATCATAGCTTAACAAAAAATTTTTAAAATTGGGCAGTTAAATCAATCCATTCATCCTGAGTTGATACCTGACACCCACGGCCGAGGGCTAGGGGGCGTGCCCTGTGGCCTTCAGGGGGCTCATCCTTGAAATCTCGACTCTGTCCCAGTGTTTCCTGATCAGCCTCCCAGAGCTCTTGTGGGAAAGGCGTTCCTGTTGCTCTGAGTGACAACTGCAGAGTATTCTGAGGTGCCCCCAGGTCTGTACGTACCCTGCGTTTTAAGTCAACCACCCCAAACAGTGCTTCTGTGGATGGCTTCCACAGCTGCCACTGATTTATTCACTCGGCAGGTATTCACGGGAGAGACAGACCTGACGCGTGAGCTGCGAGCGCATGTGCAAGTCGCCTAACTGCTCTAGCCTCGCCATCTCGCCTGTAAGACAGGACTGAAACCAAGAACGAGTGGGTTAAATCTTCCCTGGGCTAGAAGAAGAGAAAATTTTTTTTTTTTTTGCTAACTGCAGCTGTGCATACTCAGCATAATCAACTGTTGTTTAAATCTAACCAGGTCTTTCTATCCCTCCCTAGTGCATGAGTGAGCTGTCTTTCCCAGGAAGTCAAGGTCCAGACATTAAGAAGAAAGGTGATTCAGCTTCATAAGGCCCAACGCGGGCTGAAGATGAAAACTAACAAGAAAAGTCCAGATGGCCAAGGGAAAAAAAAGAGATTCAGTCTTCAAGACCAAGCAGAAGCTGAAGACACCAGCCAGCAAGGCCACATGCTCCCCCCGCCCCCAACCCAGATAAAAACCCCTCCCTTTTTCCTTTCAGGGAGGTGGAGTTGAGTTTCAACTCCCATCTCCTCATCTGGTTGCCTTTCAATAATAAACCTCTTACCTTGCCACAAGCCTGACGTTTCAGTTAATTAGCACTCCTGTGCATCAGGTAACAGACTTGTGTTTGTGCTCAGTAATAGGACAGTGGTCACCAGCTCCTTTCCTTGGGCTGCTGAGTCCCATGGGAAGAAGCCCATCAGTGCTTCCCTCTTCAGGGGAGCACTCTCAACAATGCTGTTAGCCATGACCACCTTGCTCTCCTGCCCTCTGTGTATCAGGCGTCACGCCAGGCCTGGGGGCACCCAGAGCAGACACTGTTCTCCCCTCAAGCAGAGTGTTGCCCCTCGGGCCTCTGAGGACACTACGCCTTGCTAAATGTTAAAGGCTGGAAGGACTCTCCAAAGCCAGCCCTTCTCTCCAGGGATGAAGGCCTCTCTCAGTGGGAAAAGGCTCGAGAGGGAGGCTGCCGAGTATTTCAGAGACCGGAGGCACGTGGTGATAGAGATGGGGTGGGGCATCAGCCTGACACGCAGGAGCAGGAAGAGGGCGGGGTGGGGTGGGAGTATGGATGTGACCTTGACGGGAAGCAGGGCTGTTGAGATGCTGAGGACATTGTGACTGGGTCACAGGAAAAAACTCGACATGGTCAAAATAACCAATGTAAAATGAAACTGACTAAGGCCAAAATTAGAAGAATTGAAGTTGGTAGAAATAACGGCTATTAAAATAACAAAAAACGCCTCAGGATGGCTGAAGGTGTAATTAGTAACATTTGACTAAAAGGATTGATGAATCAAGTTTTCTTTGTAAAATTAAAAAAGGAAACTCATTGAAATAAATAATTTTAACTGGATAAAAAAGGTACTAATTGTTATGAAAATATTTTAACAAAAGGAAAAAAGCAACAACTAGAAAATGGTTTAGGGAGTGGCCTGGTAGTGTATCGGTTAAGTTTGCACACTCTGCTTCGGAGGCCTGCGGCTCACCAGTTCGGATCCTAGACATGGACCTACGCACTGCTCGTCAAGCCATGCTGAGGGGGCGTCCCACATAGAGCGACTAGAACAGTGTGCAACTGTGACATACTGCTATCTACTGGGGCTTTGGGGAGAAAA